CACCCCCAAAAAAACAAACAAACAAAAAAACCCCTTGCTGATTTGGTAAAAATAAATGACTGTCATCATTCCTCATCAAAAAGTCAAGTAGCATTTCCTTAATTTGCAGTAGCAGCCTATTACTTTTTATTTTTACTATTACTGCCTACACTATCATGCAAATATTGTGGGAAATTTTATTGTGGAGGTGAGATTCTGATCCCCTAATTAATATTACGTATAGTACCTTACTTTGTGATTAGGCCTATTAACTCCAGTGGAAATATTTATCTGAGCAGCTGGTAATCTGTGTGAGTAAAATGTTCAAAATCTAACCAGACTATGGCATGTGGGCACATGCCATACTTACACTGATGTAACGTGGACACACACATGCGTTACGCTAGTGTCAGGGCGGGCAGGTGACTAGCAGGGTTGCCTATAGATGTGCTTGGAGGTATGTGTGTGTGTGTGTGGGGGGGTGGCATTTTAATTAAAGCAGGCAGTGCTGTAATTAAAACAGCTCAGCATCATGCGTATTAAGGCCCCCTCCATTTCAAAATGGCCATGGGGTCGCTTTAACTAAAACTCATTCAGTGAGGTTTAGTTAAAGCACCCCCTTGGCCATTTTGAAATGGAGGGGGCTTAAGATGCATGATGCCGAGGCGACTCTAGAGCATTCTGATTGGAACATGGAGCAAACTCAATTAATCGGGTCTAATTAGAATGCGTCGGAGCAAATCTATAGGCAGCCCAAGGTAGCAGCTCACAGTAAGTGCTATTGTAGCATCTTGCCACTAGGTGGCAAGGAACAAATAATAGGCCGTTTGCTTCAAATAAAGGACTGTTGAAATTGGATTGAAGCCCACTAGAATTATGGGTGCGCTCCTTCCCCAGGCACTGTCTATTTCCACCCTCAGGGTCAGGACTGGATTGACTTTCCACTCACATAGGGCTGCGTGTCTTGTTTTTGTTCCACGTGTAAATCAGTGTAAAGCCAGTGAAAATATATTGTGTGTCCACACCCTATGCAAGAGCTCTTTGTGTCGTTAACAGCTCCATTGTTTTCCTATTCTTGGAGCCTACCAAATGTAAAATTCATCATTTTATTGATGCTCTGAAGGTCTATGAAGCAATCAAAGCAAACTATGTTTAAACTACAGAGGCACTGGTAACCTTGTTTCTGCTTTAGTTTTCTTGGAGGTTTCCCCTTTGGGTTTCCATTCAAGCTGAAAGCGCTTATAAACAAAGAAAATGGAATTTATTGATCAAATTAAAAGTATGTTGATTCAAGCCTTTGATCAATTGAAAGTATGTTGATTCAAGCCTTTGAAACCCTTTGTTCTGTTGTTGTTTCCCCCTCTTTACTTGGAGATCTGAATAGAACAGTTTTCATTTCTTTTTAGTCCTGAGAGAAATGAGAGAAAGTTGAGATGGTTTGCTATGAAACGCAGATTTTCAGAGCTGAAGTCATGGGGTTTGGTCATCTCTACTCGCTGAGAAAATGACCCTGGGGAAGCATGTTGAGTTGACACAGTCAAATGCTAGGAAATGCCAGCATTAAGTTTTCAGTTGTGTTGTCTGAATGTGCATGTCTGGGAAGCCTCCAGATACATGTTGTTAGTGTCTGATACAAAAGTTAACTGAATTAATTCACCGAACTGAATTAGTTCACCAAATTAATTTGCATACTTACACTTTTCAGAAATCACAGCTCAGTACAGCTTGGTTGCTAAAGGTTTTCGATAAAAGGACAATTCATGGTTTCTATTGTATTCCCTAAGTTGGGAAAGCAAAGTGAACATCAAGTAGGTACATCTGGTATTTTTCCTTTTATGTTTAAGTTAAGGATGCTGGACCAAATTCTTTACTGGTGTAAAGGCTGCAGATCTATGGACTTAGGGACATTTACCTTAGTAAATTTGGAGCCTGTGCACTATCCTGCTTGCATTCACACTTCTGTTCCCTGGCACTGGTACTTATCTATTTGGGGGTGGGAATGCACTGTTTGAAAGGTACAATGATGAGTAGGAGACATGAACGTCTAATTGAGCAAGATACTTGGGCACATACCTAACTTTAAGCATGCGATTAGTCCCAGTGTTGCCCTCTGACTATCCTGGACTAATTGCAAGCATAACTTCAATGGGATAATTTGTACACTGGGCTGGATTGAGACCTACTGAAAGGAAAGAAAGAAGGGAATTACATCCAGGCAGTGTTCTTTGGGTAGATGTGATTATATTTTATTAGATCAACTGAGTAGTCAGAACAAATTTCTTTGCAAGCTTTTGGGCACAAATACCCTTCTTCAGGTGTAGGGATCTCTTGCTCTGAGATCTCCAAGGAATGAAAGAAGAATTACAGCCTGCATTTCTTTTTCTGGTGAAATCTGGTCTTGATTCATAATCAGACTTTTATAAGTAAATGCTGATTATATGACTGTGTTGTACATCTGGATAATTTTAGGTAAAGGAACTTTTGCTGCTTATATGAATTTTAGATTTGGGGTAAAGAACAAATACTGGGTAACCTTATATTTGGATAACTGATACTTGGGTTGTTTGGATTTGCTTGTAGAAGCTTGCACTCGTTTTCCAGATGTCTTTTGTCAAGGGTATCTAAGAAGATTTACAAACTTTCTTGGCTTTTGTTTACTTTTCTCCATGTTATCATTCAAATATTAGCATTTTTATGTATTGCTCCCACCATTGTGATTCCATCTGGTTCTTTGGATTTTTCAGTTCTTTTTTTCAAATCACTTGAATAAAATGTAAATGCTAGCATATCCATCTTTTTCACAATAAGGAGACACTTGCATGCTTTTGTAGGTTTTGTCACATTTTTGAGCACTATAAATGTTGAAATGAGGTGTAAATTGTAGTTAAACTTCAGTGTATGACAGGTGCCCCATAGCCAATAGTTATATAGTTTAAAATGACTGCAACTAATTTGTTACTTGTCTGTGGGGGGGAAAAAATGGATTTTTTTTCTTTTACAGTTTTATGTACGGGGAACTGACAGACAAGAAGACAATTGAAAAAGTCAGACAGACTTTTGACAACTATGAGTCAAACTGCTTTGAAATTCTCCTGTACAAGAAAAACAGTATGTATAAAGTTGTATGCAACTTTTGGTTAATGACGGTACATTTTGAAGATACCTATCTGGAGAAGACAAATGTTTCTTTTAACATTTTGCATGCGAGTTTGGGACATGACTTTAAAGAGTGACTTGCATTTTTTAGGTGTCTCAGTAATTCATTGGCCAGTCTGAGGTTCCTTTAGGAGACAAAGTACTCAACATGTTCTGATAGTTTGGCCCTTTGAAGGCAACTATATCCTGAGAAACTGAACATCAAGGGTACCTGAAATTATATTAAGATTTCCTGAAAAAATACTGCATTATGTTAGATTCAGCTTCCCTCTTAGGATAAATCTTCCCCTCTGTCTTGTGCTCACTGAAGCAATAAGAAGTTATCCTGAGATTTCTTAAATTCTGATTATCTCCAAATATTTTAACCAACGCTTTCCTTAAAAGAGAATGCAGCTGTAACTTCCAGCTCTCTCACTTGATTGTGTGTGTTTGAACTTAATCACCAACAGGGTGCTTCTCAAATGAGTCAAGGAAGCCTTTGATGTTTTCCCTTGATTTTTTTTCTACTTCTCTGCAATCCTGTCTGCACAGTCCACCTGATTGCTTCCATATATTAGGGATAGTTTTCCAAGATGTGCCAGCACTGCGTATCTTCATTGACACAAGGTTCCAGCACTGCCATCCTATTTCTAGCTGATTGCAAACTGAATCCTGAAATCCAGCTCTTCTATTTGCTACCAAGTTGTCTCATTAAGTAGAATGGTTGTTCCCAATTAACAGGTGTCTTAAATTCAGATACCTTTTATTTTAAAATCAAAGAAATAAACGATTTCCCCTGATGTCTTCTCCATAACAAGTCAATAGCTCTGTGTTGGAAAGAATATTGTCTGCTTTAGCAGATTGTGTTTCAAAAAATATTATTGAACTGTAGTCTTTTTTTTGTAAAATCTTCACCTGCATCCAGATTTTCAAGTCTTGTATTTTTATGAGTTATGTTGGTTAAGACAGATATTAGGAAAAACTTTTTCACTAGGAGGGTAGTTAAACACTGGAACAGTTTACCCCAAGAGGCAGTGGAAACTAAATCCTTGGAAGTTTTTAAAACCAGGCTAGATAAAGCCTTGGGTGGGATGACCTAGTTGGTGATGGCCCTGCTTTGAGCAGGGGGTTGGACTAGATGTGACCTCCTAAAGTCCCTTCCAACCCTCATTTTTTATGATTCTACATTGGAAGGTCTTTGGGACAAGAAAAAACCTGAGTGTAGGTTATAAGCTCATTTTCTTTCAGTCTCGTATCAGCTCTTCTTTTTATACTAATAATCTGCTGGTTTATGTCTCAGCAAATGCATTTTCCAAAGCTTGGCTTTGTTTTGCCATAATGTGAACCTTTTTTCCTGCATGTTGGCAAAACACTATTGTTAAAGTGAGCATGCATACATCCTCAAAAGCACATTTTAAAGTTAACAGTGTAGAAAAAAACACATAGCTCGCATTCCTTTTAGTACGTTTGAGGAAAATACAGTCTCTTGCTGGACTGAAGGCTTTCTGCTTTTGCCTGCTGGAGACTGAGTACTGCCTTCCTTTTGCACTGAATTCACTCTGTTTTCCTAGGCCAGTGAAAGTAACACCCAGCATTCATTTTCAAGTCCTAGGCTTAGGTGTGCTACTTGTCTTTGCCTATGTGATGTGTGTGTTTTTTCTATTCAGTGCTTCTATTTTTGGCAGCAACTCTGATTTAGATTTTGCATCATTTACCTCTCCAAATGGCAGTATCTGTGGGACTTCTGGTTTCAGATGTTATCCACAGGACTGCCCCTCTTGGCCACTTCCTTGGCATTTTAAGCCAGTTGAGATGATGGCTTCCTGGTCTGCCCATGCTGGCCAGAGTTGCTTGGGCTTCTGAATGAGCAGCTTATCCAAGAGGTGCACAGACCTTCCCTAGGAGTAAGGATTAGGGTCTTATACCTCAAGTTGGCCATTGAGAGGTGGAATATTAGAGTGATCAGTGCAATGTCTTTGGCATAAATGCTGAACAAATGCCCTTACCTCTTTAGTGGTAGTGTGACACCAGTTTAATCCCAGATAATTCAATGTCACCAAATTGAATTGCTCTTGTAGTTTTGTTTTTGCTCACATTAAAACTATAATAAACTGCTGTATTTACCTTGCGGGCACTGGTACTACTCCTTGGAGCAGTGCATTGTGGGCGCTGACAGACGTGCAGCTCGCCAGTCTAATCCATGGTGCTTCACAGAAATCGCCATGAGTTAGGCTGACCCTCCCGACCAACAGACGTTCTTTGTTGGGTCAGGAGGGTGAGGGATTGAGCTCCATTAGGAGCTGATCCAGCTGAGGAGCTTCTCTCCCGAGGCTTGTTTCGGGGGGGAGGGGTGCTCCAATCCACCCACACCCCCTCTAGCATAGGCCGAGCAAGCCCCAGTCTAATCTCTCTCCCCTCAATTCTCCTTCCTCCCATTGTGCACACAGCACTGGGGGTGGGGTAGGGCTGCATTAGCCCAGCCACCCACTCAGACAGAAGTTAATGAAGACACTCCACTTTGGAGCACCTTCATCTGAACCCTGATATAGTGAGGGTTAATTTGTCGTGTGATTCTAGACTTTTAAAGTGTTCTGCAGCTGTGCACTTCTGTAAGGGCACAGCTGTAGTGTGCTTTCAAGGGTCCAGTCATGAGACAAATGTAACTTCTGTGTGCGCCCTGTGAGGCAGCTGCTAATGTGACTGAGCAGGGACTAGAAAAGGTGCCCTAAACCTAGGCTGTCTTATCTGCCCTTGCCTGGATAACTGCATCCAGTGGAATCACTGTGGTTGAAAACATCATAAGACGACAATGATTTTTGCAACATGGAACATTTGCATCCCAATGGGTAACCAAATTAATGAACAACCAGAAAGAACAACTCCCACTGCCATCATTTATAGGGGACTAGCGAGATACAACATTGACATTGCATCTCCTAGTGAGACAAGACAACTGGATGAGGTCTGCTGAAGGAAGAGGGTGGAAGCTGCTACACTATCTTCTGGAAGGGGAAACTGGCCCAGGACAGATGCGTCCGTGGTATCCTCTTCAGCATCAATAATCAGCTTGTCAGTCAACTTACAGAGCTCCCTGTGGGCATTAATGAATGTCTTATGACCCTCCATTTTAAGCTCAGCAAGAACCAGTATGCCACTGTCATCAGTGCCTGTGGCCCAACTCTTGATGCTGATGTCAAAGAACAATTCTACTCCAACCTAGACCATGTACCGACTGACACTCACAAGGAGGATAAGATAATTCTTGGTGACTTCAACACCAGTCGGACATGACCTGGGATGCTGGGGAGTAGCATCATTGGGCAGGAAGGAATAGGTAAAACCAACTCTAGTGGCTTGTCCTCCTAAGCAAATGTGCAGAGCATGGTCTTGTTATTACAAACACCATCTTCAGACAGTGACAAATACAAGACCAACTGGAGACACCCTCACTCTGAGCACTGGCATCTTCTCGACTATGTTATTGTTAGAAACTGATCAAATGACTGTCTGTATCACATGAGCTACGCAAGGAATCGATGACTGCTGGACAGATCACCTCTTCTCAGATCCATTATGAACATCTGGCTTGCTCTGCAATACTGAAAACAGTCAAAAGCAATGCAAAGGACCCTGAACACCAAATCTCTTGAAGACCTGATGGTCTGTAAGGGTCTCCAATAGTGTCTCCATGAAAATCTCTCTGCCCTGTCCACAAATGAAGATGACATGGAAGAACTCTGGAACAGGTTTAAAACCACTGTCCGTATGGCCCATGCTGAATCCATTGGCTGTACCAGCCGTCAATACCTAGACTGGTTCAATGAGAGTAACGCCAAGATCCAAGTCCTCCTCAACTGGAAGAGAAAGGGTCATTCTGTTTGGCAAGATGATACCTCATCTCAGCAGAAGAGGGAGATGTATCAGCTCCTTAAAGTAACAGCTCAAAAAAGGATCCAGGGAATTAAAAATCAGTGTTGGCAAGATGAAGCCGAGGAGATCTATGCTGACAAGCATGACGTGCTTAGTTTTTTCCAAGCAATGAAAGCCATCTTTCTGGAATTGATATGGAATGTAGGAGGATGGAGGGCTCTTCACTCTAGAATGTTTTTTGCTTGAAGACCAAAGTACTCAAAACAACCATCCTGGACCTTGAATAAGATAATGGCGGTGCAGTCCTTGAGCACACTGAAGAACACTTCCAGACTGCACTAGAACTTTTCAGTGAAGCCTACTGAACTTTGGGCCTCTCTCTCAACATGGAGAAGACTGTACTGCTGTATCAGCCTGGCCCAGGCAGTGAATATGACCCCTCTACACAAATTACCATTGAGTGAAAGACCCTGGAGGTAGTTGAGCACTTCCCCTACCTCAGTAGCTGCCTCTCAAAGAGTGAACATTGATGAGGAGATGCTTCCGCGTGTCTTTATTTGTTGTGATCTCTGAAAAGACGCCAACATCCAGGTCTACAAAGCAGTTGTCATCCCCACTCTCCTCTATGGATGTGAAATGTGGGTGACCCACCATTGTCATTTCAAGAGTCTGGAGAGGTATTACCAGTAATGTTTCTAGAAAATCCTCCACATTAAATGGGAAGATTGCCACATAAGTGCTTTGCTGCCAGCATCCTTGCTGAAGCCAATGTTACTAGCATTGAGTTGGTGATCCTCAAGCACCACCTGCAGTGGACTGGACATTGTGTGCAGATGTCTGACTCTCAACTCTCAAAACAAGTGCTCTGCTCCCAGCTTGGTAATAGCTTGAGATCTTGTGGTGGGCAGAGGAAATGCTACAAGGACACATTGAAGGCATATCTCAAGAAAATGGATGCTTACATCAAGAGTTGGGAGGAGCTGACTGCTTACTGACTCCAGTGGAGCCACAACCTCAACCAAGCAGCATCCTGTTTTGAAAGAAAGCATCTTGCCCTTGAAGCAGAGAAGAGAGAGTGGATGAGGAAAAAGAAGAGGAATCCCAGCCTGCAGCCTTCTCTCCCCTGTGGAAGGACCTGCAACTTCTGTGGACTGATCTGTGGCTCAAGGATTGGACTCTTTTTAAGTTGTCTGAAGACCCATTAGTGAACCATAGTAGAAATCATCCTCGAATTGAGGGATTGCCAACAACAGCATTGTGAGGGATTTTGAAGGGTCATTGGTGCCTTGTGGGATACCAGTGAGCAAGCTAAATGTTTCACCTGTTGTTCCCATACTGCCCCAATGAAGAACAAATGGCATTTAATGTGCAGGCATGCTGTTTGGCACATGTTTGTGGGTGGCGGTAAGGTGCGTGAAATGCTTGTTGAGCAGGCACATGGCTGTCAGTGTATTAGATTTTTCTAGAAAAGTTTTGTTGAGATAAAAAATGAGGGTGCGAAGGGACCTCAGGAGGTTGCATCTAGTCCAACCCCTGCTCAAAGCAAGACCACCCCCAGCTAGATCATCCCAGCCAAAGATTTGTCTAGCCAGGTCTTAAAAACCTCCAAGGATGGAGATTCCACGACCTCTCTGGGTCACCTGCTCCAGTGTTTTACTACCCTCCTAGTAAGAACATTCTTCCTACTATCTAACCTAAACTTCCCTGGCTGCAACTTGAGACAGACCATTGCAACTTCAGACAATTGCTCTTTGTTCTGTCATCTGCCACCACTGAGAACAGTCTAGCTCCATCCTCTTTTGAATCTCCCCTTCATGTAGTTGAAGGCTGCTATTAAATCCCCTCTGTCTTCTCTTCTCTGGACTAGATAAGTCCAGTTCCCTCAGCCTGTCTTCATAAGTCATGTGCCTCAGTCTCCAAACCATTTTTGTTGCCCTCCATTGGATTCTGTCGAATTTGTCCACATCCTTTCTGTAGTGGGGGGCCCAAAACTGAACACAGGACTCCAGATGTGACCTCATCAGTGCTGAATCATTTCCCTTGACCTACTGGCAACTTATCTACCAGTGCAGCCCGGTGTGTTGTTAGCCTTCTTGGCAAGAAGGGCACACCGCTGGCTCATATTCAGCTCATTGTCCACTGTAACCGCCAGGTCCTTTTCTGCAGAGCTGCTGCCCAGCCTGTACCGGTGCATGGGATTGTTCCATCCTGAGTGCAGGACTTTGCACTTGTCTTTGTCGAACCTCATGAGACTGCATGTTCATAAGTGACTTGAGCCTTTTGAAGTCAACTGTTTGAGATCCCAAATCAATAGAAATAAAATATATGCCAGTGTGCCACTGACAAGCATGGATTATAAAACCTGAGTGGGGCACAAGTCTTGTGCTGCCTGTCTGCCCAGGGTTGAATTTCATCTTGTGCAGAGTAGGGCGTGTGCCAGTGTCATTCTTCTCTGCGCACACAATAGCCATCTGTAAATACTGAGTATGTACCAGTAAGCATGCTGTATTCCTGCCATGGACTTAGGCAGCTGCTATTTTAAACCATCTCAGCACTGTAGATATGTTTTTAATTGGTTGTTTGACCAAAGTGGTAGGATGGTAAAACTATTTTGCCTTGAATTAAAATGCTAGGAGGAAAATGCACCATGGTGAGAAGAGTGGGGTGGCTGGCAATCTGAGTCCCATTTTTTCTAGGGATTGGGATTTAGTGATTAACCCAGGAGACAGAGGCAGATCGCTTGGGTTCTATTTCCAGGCCTGGGTGGGATCCTCTTTGCCGTGTGTCAAAATATGGGACTTGTCACATTTGACTGTGTCCTCCTAATTTAGAGAGAATTCAATAGCTTTGATATAAAAAAGATGACCCTCAGAGGGGAAATCTGGGGAGAGGAGGTGGGAAAGGGAGGGAGGACAGGAATGGGTGGGGGGGAGTTGTGTTTTAATTTGTCTGTAATAGGTAAAGAAGGTTCCAACATTTCCCACTTCCTTTATTTTTTTTTCTTTTTAAATATTGGAAAGTTTTGCCTACCCTAAGGACAAGAACCACACTAAACCCAAGGAGGGTAAAATATGGTGAGGCAAAACCGGGAATAAGAAAGGAGGAGGAAAGCTCTTCATTCCAGGGAGGAGATTGTGTTTCTGTGTTTGGTTATGAGGAAACACTACCAAGCCAGTAACCTCATTTTCATGATTATGTGACTAAATTAACACATCATAGATTCAAAGATGAGATTGAACTGGCATATATACGGACACCTGAACAGTGTTATATACGAGTCTTTTTTAAGAATCAGTCTTTAAACCATGCAGTGCTCTGTGTATACGTTGTGAAAAGCTGGTTTTGTACCATATGACATGTTCTTTTTTTTTTCCTACTCCAGGAACCCCAGTTTGGTTCTATATGCAGATTGCGCCCATAAGAAATGAACACGAAAAAGTTGTTTTATTCCTGTGCACTTTTAAAGACATCACTTTGTTCAAGCAACCTATTGAAGATGATTCAACTAAAGGTAAGTTTAAAATACATCACTGATATTAAAATACACCTAGCCAAGTTGAATCAGAAGGCAGAAGCAAGCAGTGATTGTGAAACTTTTCTTGGATTTGGGACATGCTTACCAAGATGCAAAAGTTGTGTTGCTCTGGTAGATTCTGGCATAAAAGTAACAGCGAGAGAGAGAAACTGCTGTGTGTGAAACATTAGCTAACAGCATACTGCAGCCAGCACTAGACGACCCTTTTCTGTATCGTTTCCCCACTTGTTTCACTCTAACTGGTTTTTGCTAAAAATTAGAATCATTTAAAATTATTGCTATATTTTTTTCGGGAGATTGAAAATTAAGTATCTTTCTCCAAGGCGATTGCCATTTTCTATTAAGCAGTGCTTTTTTTACCCTCCTTTTTGCTGAGATGTGAAATTATTTTTTTTTTCCATTGGAGGTAAAATTACAATAAAATGGCCCATTCTGCTTGTTGCTTGTTTGCCACTGATGATGGCAGGACAGCTCTGATTTTTGTGCTTTATTGGTTAGCAGATGCTACAGATGGTGTTCATTTAGAGGAGCAATTCAGAGAGACACTCAGAGCCAGGGCCTCAAGCCTTATGCAAAACCACCTGCTAGGAAAGGGTGTACACGACTAGCTTGTACCCTCTATCTGGATTTTAAGGCATATTTGTGCCTTATGGCTGCTCTGTGCCAAGTTTACGCGCACATTTGATAATTGCTGTTAGAGTGCACTTAAATGTATAAAGGAAATAGGTTGCTGAATATACATCCTAGTGGCTCTAGAAACTTTGCTTTTGCTAACTGAGTCCTCAGCTCATTTACTGCAACGTTAACAAAGGCTGTGTTCCCCACTGAACACTGTGAGCTCTCCTTTATTTTCCTCTTGGTCTGGTCTAACAGCAAACAAGCAGGGTTCAAACTGTTACCTTACCATGCAGATAGCATCTTTGGTTAAGACCAAATGTAAGGGATTTCTGCCCAAAGATATTAGTTCTTTTGTAAAGTTATAGAAGCCTGAAGGAGATAAAGATATGGGGATGGTTTCTTTTCAGCCACCATCGCTACACCACTTTAGTACCTTACTCTTGTTTCTTTGTTTCACTGGAAGTTGTGGGCCCAGTCAGTGTGTCGGCCTGGACTGTCTCCTGAGACTTTAAAAATACATTTCAGTTAATTGAAAGGGTACAATTAATTGTACAGAGCTGATGATATGGGCCTGACTTTTACTCTGCCCTGGGCAAAACTTGGAGGAGGAGCTGGCAGAGGAAAGGGGGATCAGCAACCAAAGGGACTAAGCAAAGAAACCTCTGTAGAGTTCTTCCCTGGTAGCTTCCCTGAGGGAGTGAGGCTGGCTTCTCGGACAATCTGCCCTCAAAGCCCCATGCCTTTGGCTGCGTCAGTGACTTGGGGATGTCCCACTCCCTGTCCTGTTGTTCCAGTAGAGCTGTCCTGGCTGTGGTGGCCAGTGTGCTGGGGTGTCTCAGTCCTACCAAGGATGGATAGTACCTGCCTAGGATGTATTAACTTTCCAGGGAAACCTCTGTGGGGCTGGCAGTGGGATGCTTTTTACACTTTACCTGCCCTGCCTTGGGGCGTTCATGAGTCCCAGTAGAGCCAGACCCAGCTCCTCTCCACATGTAGCTCCTTGTGCAGCGTCTTCCCTGGAGTCCTAAAAGGGGAAAGGGTGGTATGTGTTTGGGGGGCTGGACCCAATGATCTGCGGGGTCCCTTCCAGCCCCTAACAATCCATGAATGTGGGTTAATGGAGGTGACTGAACCATACCATTTCTCTCCAGTGTGGGGATAGGAATGGGGGCGAATCCATCGGAGGAAGTGTACACTGGAGGGGAAAAAACATTAACAGCTGTGCAAGTGCACAGTGTAGATATAGCTGCTCACCGAAACGCGAGGGTGTCATTACTTGGAAGTGCCAGTGTTGGCATGTAGGCATCACAAAGTGAAGCAGCTTGAAGTGTTAGAAAACACGTGTCCCTGTAAAGGCCATTGTCAGTGGAAGGGGCTTCATGTTCTGTTTCTTTGAGCTAAACAGCAATACAGGTGATGTATAACAGTGTTCTGTCAGGATGCTTTCATTAAGCTACTGACCTTGTAGATCTCCACAGATGCAGTAGCTCCGTACCATTGGCATGAGTTTCCTCTTCTTTATGCAGGCAGTAATTTGGAGTTGCTCCTTTATTTATATATATATATTAAAAAATATTTCTATCATTTCAGCATAATCCCAAAGCATTAGAATGACAGCACTGCATTGTCAAGCACAGTGAGACAAGACATGCATAACTCATTTGTCTTGCAGGTACCTTTGCAGTGTGCTTAGAGGCCCTTAGCCCACTTTATTTTTTAATTATGAGCTTGATCGATATCTGAGTTGCAATTTAGTGAGATATCTAGAAGCTTTTATGAAAAGTATAATGTCGCTTTAGCAAGCTGAACTTCGTAGTTGAAAGGGCTATTTTTTAAAAGGCAATCAGGACTCCTAGTAGAGATGATACCTTTATTAGAACAGTAAGATTTTTGGAAAAAAAAAAAAAATTTAAGTGTTTTATTTTTTAAAGAGTTTTTTTGTTTCTTTTGATTGAGCCGGGACTGCAAAACATATAAGAAAAACATGCACAGATTAACTACAGTGACTATGAGTTATTTTTTTTATTGTTGCTGGAAATTGGACATTTTAAGAGGAAAAAATCGGCATAATGATTTATTGGCACCATTATGCAGTAACCTCTTGGTACCAACATATTTGGTGGTGTCGGCAGGCATAGTGCCGTGTCCTGGAGCTTCAGTATATCATATTCATACCAAGTAAAAGGGAAAGATATTTCAAATAATCGCAGTGGCTGTATGTCTTTTGCAGAGCACATTTGATTCTTAGTCCTTGTGCTGTTTGCCAAGCTTGCCTGCAGACCTCCACCCTGCATGGTTGCACTCATACCTGCATTTGTAGTGGGTTGCATTCCCTAAATTTGCCGGTGTCACCTGAGGGTCCTTGATTCCTTGCAAACTTGACCTCCTCTCAGATTTGACTGGTAGTGAATAGTAGAAGAACTTGTTTCTACTTCCCAGAATCCTGGACAAAAGTGTTTCTATTCTGTCATGCTTAGCTGAAGCACTTTTTTCTATTCTGCAAGTTCTTTGCTTTAGTCCATTCCAGCTAGTGCCAAACTAGGGAACCAGAATAACTGGATGTGTCATTCCTACTTGGAGTGCCCGGTTTTTAACTTAGAATATGGACAGAAGGTACTTGAGATGTCAGAGGGCATTTCAGCAGCATTTTCTAACCTTTGGAAGGTAGCAGTGGGTCTTGGGGAGCTCATTTTTGGAGCAACCTCTGGCACGATACAGGAGGTGTGGATTTCTAGGTTAGTGATTGCATATTGTTTTTGTGGGGAGAACTGGTGAGCTCCAGAGGCAGCTGTGAGATGTTTGCCCTGCTTCAGTATCTTGCCAGTCAGCTTGAGTTTCTTCTTTGTGAAAAGATGTCAAGCATACGTGGAGGATAATTCTGGATGCTGGACTGGAAAGTGAGGGCTTTCTTCGTACCACTCACATGGACAGTGGCCTGAAAAACGGGCAGAAGACAGGGTAGATATGCACCTTTTATAGATTAATGCGACCACGGCACTAAATAGTGATGTGTGTAACCATCTTTTTCATCTATAGCCACTGAGGTTTCTATAATCAAGACTGTCTAAGACAATGCTGTAATGCTAGAAAACCCTGGCATCCTGGCAGACTCACAAGAGTTATAAAGAGTGTTAGATCCATGCTGACCTCTGTAGGGACCTCTGTCTGAGTGTCAAAGTACCCAAAATATGGGCATCTTGTATCGGGAGGGTTAGTCAGACCAGCAGGGGAGGGTACCTGGGTTTTTCTTTACACTGAATGGGAAACCTGAGTGTCTCCCAAGGACAGCATAATGGCTCAGCAGGGAGGCCCCTATAGTGAGCCAGGAGGGAATGCCTAGGCACAGGGTGTATCTGAACTCCCTGTCCTCACTGGAGTTTAGGCCCTTGACTCAGGACCACAAGGCGGGTGCTTCTGTCTCCTCAGGATCCAGATCTCTCTGAAGGGAGGTGTTGAGCTGAGCCGGTATGCCCTAACCGACAACAGCATTGACTTCAGTATAAATACAGTGCACCATGCTCATGCTTGTAAAATGGTGCGTTGCTGCTCACCTTTTCTGCAAGCGCCTATTTGAGCACTCTCCTAGGAAGTGGAAGACCATTCTCAGCTGAGAGGATCCTATCTTACATCATTCCCCTCCCAAGAGATTTTCCTAAGTACAAGGGCATGGGTTGGGCTGTATGGGGTTATCTTTCAGAAATCTTGTTGAAGTTGGGATGCTGTGCAGCCAAGAATGCCTGTGTCTTGGGGTCAGATGGACACCAGGCAAGATGGGGTGTGACTGGTGAGGAGTGCGTACCCATGGGAGTGGAGTGTCCTGGCTTTCAGGCCCTACTGCCAGGGCTGTTTCTGGTTCTCCTTCAGTGACTGTCTGATGCAAAGTGCATCAGTAGCTTGGGGAACAAGGAAGAGATGGTGCGACTCTGCAACCCAGTGATGGGGGTTGCCCCAGATTCTGGTCCCTGCTGTCAAGACTGCTTTCTTTTCAGGCTTATCTGCAGGCCCGTCTCCAGACAAAGCCTCAGACTGCAACTCTGGAGTGCCCATCAGCTCTGTCACTTGATCAGGGCTACTTCCAGCGCTGTGGTTGGTCATTGGGTCTGGTTTTCCAACTCCATCTCTCTTCTATTAGAGTTGCTTTCAGGCCATCCCTGCCTCCTCTGAATCTGGTCTAAGACTCACGCTGTCCATGCCCAAAGCCTGCCATGCCAGATTATATGCGGTGGAAAGGGTAGGTCAGACCTCTCACAGAGGGAGAAGATAGGTGGGATGTTTCCGCATGTGCAGGGGCTGGCCCTTAGGTTTTTAGTATGCTCCCTGCACTGGACACTGGTCTGCCTCCTCTCCATTTCCATTAG